CTTTAGTTGATAAAATAATGTGCTTGATGGGTGACTGTAATGCTTTCTAGTGATAATTCTTACAGCTCTTTTCTGTAAAATAAAAATAGGCTTTGTAAATGTTTTACACACTTTAGACATGTGGATGGTTTGGTTGAGGTTATTATTTTTTACAATTCAGAGAGCACAACAGGACAAAACTGTTCAAACACAAATCAGGCTCTAGTGACATTTTTAAAATTGCCTCATTTGACAGGGGACTAGAGATAGTAGAAGGAAGGGTGGTTTGAATTTTCTCTCTAATTGAAATAATTTTATTTATAAAGAATCTCATGAAGTCATCACTACTTATAGTTGTAGGGATACATGGTTCAACAGAAATGGGACTTTTAATTAGTCTAGCAATAGTACAAAACAGAAACCTAGGGTTATTTTTATTCTCCTCTATTAAAGATGAGTAATATAAAGTTCTAGCTTTACGGAGAGCTTTTTTATATGTTAGCAGACTATCTTTCCAAGTTAAATAAAATTCTTCAACATTAGTAGAGCGCCATTTTCTCTCCTGGTTTCTAGAGCCCTGCTTTAAAGTACGTAACTCAGAATTGAACCAAGGAGCCAGTTTCCTTTGATTGATTACTTTCTTTTTCAGTGGAGCAATTTTATCAAGTGAAGTTTGCATTGAAGTTGTAAGATGATCAACTAGATGATCTAAGTCTCTGTTCTCTGATGCATTACTCTGCAAGACAGAGGAAACATTGATGGAAGAGATTGTTTCAATTTGGTTACAGCATTTTCTGATAAGCACCTGCTAAGACGAAATTTACTCTCAGTGACTGTGTAGTCATTTAATGAAAACTCAAAGGTTATTAAAAAATGGTCGGACAGAATAGGATTTTGAGGAACTATTACAAAGTCCTTAATCTCTATACCATAGGTCAGAACTAAATCAAGAGTGTGATGATAAGAATGAGTAGATGTGCGGACGTTTTGGGTAAAACCAAACGAGTCTATTAAATTATTAAAGGCTATGCTTAAGCAATCACTTTCAACATCTACATGAATATTGAAATCACCCATCATTATGACTTTATCAGTATTTAATAGTAAGTCAGTTAAGAATTCTGAGAATTCAGACAAAAACTGAGAGTAAGCGCCTGGTGGACGATATATAACGACTAATAAAAGTGGCTTTTCTGATTTTCATTTTGGATGAGAAAGACTGAGGGACAGCGATTCAAAAGAATCATAACTAATAACTAGTTTGGCATTAATCAATAATCCTGACTGAAAAATAGAAGCTATTCCTCCACCTCGGCCAGTTGTTCTAGAAACATCCAACCATTATCTTTTACCCGCTTCATCCATTTGGGGTCACGGGGGTCGCCGGTGCCCGTGTCCAGCAATTACTGTTTGAGGGGCGGAGTAAACCCTGGACAGGTCGCAAGTCCATCACAGGGCCACATAGAGACAAACAACCATTCACTCTCTCACTCACACCTAGGGACAATTTAGTGTTACCAATCAGCCTAACATGCATGTTTTTGGTCTGTGGGAGGAAACCGGAGTACCCGGAGAAAACTCATGCATGCACGGAGAGAACAAGCAAACTCCACCTAGAAAGGCCCCAGGACCGGAGTTTGAACCAGGAACCTGCTCGCTGAGAGATTGCAGCTCTACCAGTTGCGCCACCGTGCTGTTCATTCTAGGAACATGAAAATTTAAATAAGTAACAGGAGTGGATTCATTTATACCAACAAAATCCTCCTGTTGTAGCCAAGTTTCTGTCAGACAGAATAAATTAATATGATGATCAGTTATCAGTTCATTAACTAACAGGGGTTTAGAGGAAAGAGATCTGATGTTCAATAATCCACATTTAATGATTTTATGATTTTGATCTGGTAAAGTAACTGTTTATTTTAATCAGATTTTTATGGTTTATATTTTCATAGCTGATTTTTGGTTTGTTTCATTTGAGCCGTGGTCGAGTTGACACCGTTTCAATGGGGGTGTGGGTGGGTAACAGAGGAGAAGCAGCAGAGAGGTGTGGAGGACTACAACTCTGCTTCCTGGACTGGATCCTGGGTTGTCAATAATTTGGGGGATAAACAAGATCAGCCATATTTCTAGAAAGAAGAGCGGCTTCGTCCAAAGTGGGATGGATGCCATCTCTCCGGATCAGACCAGGTTTTCCCCAAAAATAACTCCAGTTATCTATGCAGCCCACGTCGTTGTCAGAACACCACCTGGACACCCAGCGGTTAAACAACGACATACGGCTAAACGTGTCATCGCTGGTCAGGTTGGGGAGGGGGCCAAAGAAAACTACGGAGTCCGACATGGTTTTAGCAAAGTCACACACCGAAGCAACATTAATTTTAGTGACCTCCGATTGGCGTAACCGGGTGTCATTACCGCTGACGTGACTAACAATCTTATAGCCTTAGCCTTAGTCAGCAGTTTCAGATAAGATTCTATGTCGCCCGCTCTGGCCCCCGGAATGCATTTAACTATGGCTGCTGGAGTCCCTAAAGCCACGTTTCGGACTAAGGAGCTGCCAATAACCAGGGTCTGCTACTCAGCGGGTGTGTCACTGAGCGAAGAAAATCGATTAGAAATGTGAACGGGTCGGTGGTGAACTGGGGGCTTAGACTTAGCACTACGCTTGCTCCGGACCATCACCCGGCGGGCCTAGGATCCCAGCTGCTTGGGGTCTGCTGGAGGACTGCTAACGGGAGCTAGTCTCTGTGGTTCCACGCTGTCTAAGGGGACCTGGCTAGCTACTGGTTTATCTACAGCGCAGAGCCGAGCTTCCAGTTCAGACAGCCTCTCCTCCAAAGCTACCATAAGACTACATTTGTTACATGTATCATTATCACTAAAGGAGGCAGAGGAGTAGCTAAACATCTGACACACAGAGCAAGTGAGAACAGAAGAAGACGGGAGAGAAGCAGCAGCCATGCTAAGCTAATGCAGCAAGAGCTAGCAGAGCCAAATACACCAATAAAAACCGAGAAGTGTTGAAAGATAAAAGGCGATTTAAGCACTATCTAACAGTAGAAAAACAACTGTACTAAGCGTTTGTGAACTAGAATGAAAAACTGTGCAAAAGATAGATAAATCCAGAAAACAGAGACGACTCAAGCAAACAATTCACTCGAGCTACCAACAGACAAACAGAAAGTGACACAATACGTCTCACCACGAACGTGCAACATCACCAGCCAATAGAGGCGCGGAACATGGCCCACTCAGACTCAATGTCCCCCCGCCTCCCCGGAATGTGTTTGAAGCTCTCTCGAAGGTGGGAGTTAAATCTCCATCTCATGGGAGACTCTGCCAGACGTTCCCAGCAGACCCTCACAATACGTTTGAGTCTGCCATGTCTGACCAGCATCCTCCCCCACAATCAGAGCCAACTCACTGCCAGGTAGTGGTCAGTGGACAGCTCCGCTCTTCACCCGAGTGTCCAAGACATGCGACCGCAGATCAGATGAGATGACAACAAAGTCAATCATTGAACTGTGGCCTAGGGTGTCCTGGCGTCAAGAGCACATATGGACACCCTTATGCTTGAACATGATGTTCGTGATGAACAATCCATGATGAGCACAAAAGTCCAATAATAGACCACCACTCGGGTTCAGATCGGGGGGCCATTCCTCTCAACCACACCCCTCCAGGTCTCACTGTCATTGCCCATGTGAGCGTTGAAGTCCCCCAGTAGAACAAGGGAGTACCCAGGAGACACACTCTCCAGGACCCCCTCCAAGGACTCCAAAAAGGGTGGGTAATCTGAGCTGCTGTTTGGCGCATAAGCACAAACGACAGTCAGAACACGTCCCCCCACACGTAAGTCGAGGGAGGCTACTCTCTCGTTCACCAGGGTGAATCCCAACGTACAGGCACCAAGATGGGGGGCAACAAGTATGCCTACTCCTGCTTGACGCCTCTCTCCAGGGGCAATTCCAGTGGAAGAGTGTCCAACCCCTCTCAAGGAAACTGGTTCCAGAGCCAGAACCATGTATTGAAGTGAGTCCGACTATTTCTAGCTGGAATCTCTCAACCTCACACACCAGCTCAGGCTCCTTCCCTACCAGAGAGGTGACATTCCAAGTCCCAATAGCCAGCTTCTATAGCCGAGGATCAGACCGCCAGGGTCCCCACCCTCAGCCACCACCCATCCCACATTGCACCCGACCCCTTTAGCCCCTCCCACAGGTGGTGAGGCCATGGGAAGGGGGACCCATGTCACCTCTTCAGGCTGTGCCCGGCCAGGCTCTATGGGTAAAAACCCGGCCACCAGGCGCTTGCCAGCGTGCCCCATCTCCAGGCCTGGCTCCAGAGTGGGGCCCCAATGACCCACGGGTGAGGGAACATTGATTCCATAGATTGTACTCATCATAAGGGGTCTTTGGGCTGCACTTTGTCTGGTCCCTCACCTAGGACCTGTCTGCCTTGGGTGACCCTACTAGGGGCATGAAGCCCCTGACAGCATAGCTCCTAGGATCATTGGGACACTCAAACCCCTCCACCATGGTATGGTGGCAGCTCAGGGAGGGGTCTCAGTCATCCAGGACATGGTAAATTCAAAAAAGTTCAAGACAAAAACAATAAAGTAAAAACTAAAGTATAATAAATAAGGTCCAGTTGTTTTTGTCTTGAACTTTTTTGAATTTGCCATTATAGGAAAAAATCCATAAATATGTTGCTTCGGCCTACAAGTCACAGGGCATGTAAATTATGCAAAAAAAACAACATGACTTATAGGCCAAAAAATATGGTATGTATAAGGTGAAATTTCAGTACCTGGATCATAGTCTCCAAGCTCTGATTGAACAGTGTAAGACCCAAGGACAGTGTGAGTAGAAAATGAACAAGGAAGACGTCCGGAAACGATATCCTGTCTGAGCTGAAGACACAGGAAATACCTGCAGAGAGACAAAAAAAGAATACATCACCTGCCTGACGGGACACGTGGGGCAGCTGAGACTGAGTGGTTAGAGCTGTTGTCCTCCAATGGGAGAGTTGTGGGTTTGATTCCACCAACGTGTTTAAATGTCCCTGAGCAAGCCACTGAACCCCCCCATTGCCTCTGATGTGTGTACCATCAGCATATGAATGTGATAAAGCTCAGATTAGTCTCTAAAGATTCAGATTATCTTTGGAGAGATGTAGTAGAGTGCTGTATGAATGTGTGTGGAGGTAAAGAAAGCACAGAATGGGTTGTGAAGAGCTTTGAATATCTTGATTAGATAGACATGAGCTATATATACATTTATCATTCAATGGGTGAAAACTGAAGGCTGACCTTTGATTGACAGGTGTGTGACCCTACCTGCTTATATCCTCAGTAAGCTGGGAGGGGTCAGGAGGGTAAAACTTTACATTAAATAAGAAGTTCCAAGGAACACCTGAGACACCAAAACAAAAAAAATCAATTAATGAAGAACTGTACCTTGAGCTCACCTGGGGCCTCATGCACAGACTGAATTTACAAATATGTGGCGTACGCCCTTTTAAATGCAACAGATGTATCTAGAATGAAACATGTGCAGCCAGCAATAACTTCATAGCTGGTGTATGCTGGTGTATGCACGCTTCTATGGTTACCGGTGTACGCACGTTTATATGTTTCCTGGTCCTTTGGCGACAGAGGTGATGCTGGAAAATCGTTGATGTGAAAACTATTATTGTACACAACGGACACACATGATACCATACCATACCATACCAATTTATTTATATAGCACTTAAAACAGCAACAAGGCCAACCAAAGTGCTGTACAAAAGAACACAAACATGCACAGCGGACAGGAAAACATAAAATAGAAATACAGATACAAATAGCAGCAGAAGCTAACTAAAATGGCCAACAGAGTAGAGAACAGACCGGACCAAAACAAATCACACCGTGTTAAAGGCAAGCGAATAGAAGTGGGTCTTCAAGCGAGACTTAAAGACTGAGAGTGTGGGAGCCTGCCGGACACTCAGTGGCAACTCATTCCACAGTCGTGGACCTGCAACAGAGAAAGCCCTGTCACCTCTGAGCTTACGACGGGTTTCTGGGACTGAGAGAAGCATCTGGTCTGCTGACCTCAGAGAGCGCGGTGGGACATATGGCTGCAGAAGATCAGTGAGATAGGATGGGGCGGAACTGTTCAGTGATTTAAAAACATACATGAGAATTTTGAAATGGATCCGAAGGTGAATGGGTAGCCAGTGCAGGGAGGCCAAAACTGGCGTGATGTGCTCTCTATAGCCTGTACCAGTTAAAAATCGGGCTGCAGCATTTTGGACCAGTTGTAGACGAGCAATGGAGGACTGACTGATTCCAAACAGAAGTGAATTGCAGTAATCAAGCCTAGATGCTATGAAGGCGTGGATCACTGTCTCGAGGTTCTTTTTGTTGAGTATAGGCTTCAGCTTAGACAGCCGTCTCAGCTGAAAAAAACAGGATTTGACCATCATGTTTACGTGACTGTTGAGTTTTAAGGACGGGTCCATTATCACCCCCAGATTAGTCACCTTTTGTTTCTCTAGCGGGGCTAGAGAGAATAGGTCAATGTCATAGTTCATGAGTGAGCCACTGGGATGGAACAGCATGACTTCAGACTTCTTCTCATTGAAGCTTAAGAAGTTTAAAGCCATCCAGTCCCGGATGTCAGCCAGGCAGTCAAGAAGAGGCTGAATAGAGCGTGTGCCTCTGTGCCACAGGGGGAAGTAAATTTGGCAATCATCGGCATAGAAATGAAAGGGTATGTCGTGTTTGCGGAAGATAGCACCTAGTGGCAGCAGGTATAAAGAAAAGAGAAGGGGGCCGAGGATGGACTTCTGCGGTACCCCCCACTGGAGTGCAGTCGATGCCGAACTAAAATCTTTGATATTGACACAGAAGGTTCTGTCAGAGAGGTAGGACCCAAACCATTTAAGGGCTGACCCTGTGATGCCCACCCACTGCTCCAGTCTAGAAATGAGGATATTGTGGTCAATGGTGTCAAAAGCAGATGTAAGGTCCAATAGGACAAGCAGCACAGAATCACCTGCGTCTGTGGATATGAAAATGTCATTAAAAACCTTCAGTAGAGCAGTTTCAGTGCTATGGAGAGATTTGAAGCCAGATTGGAATAACTCAAGGATAGCGTGATCCCCCAAAAACTGTTTCAACTGAGACTCCACAATTTTTTCCAGTAGTTTAGAGGTGAATGGGAGTCTGGAGACAGGCCGGAAGTTGGACATGACTGAGGGGTCAAGGTTAGGTTTTTTCAGGAGGGGCTGGACAGCAGCATGTTTAAAAGTCTTTGGCACCACACCTGAGGATAAACTGCTATTCAGAATAGTGAGGATAAAAGGACCCAGGGTAGGAAAAACTTCCTTTAGTAGTCGAGGGGGGACCACATCAAAGGGGGAACCAGATGGCTTCATGCTGCACATTACCTGCTCCAGAGA